GATAGATAAGTAAAAGAAATAGAAAATCTTAAAAATAAAAAATCGTATCTAAGTAATTTAATGATTATAAAATAATAAATAACAACCTAGTTTAAAACCCGTACTTTACTATTAATAAAATTCAAGATGCTACTTTTCATTTTAATGTATAATAAATTTATTTGCCTTCAATATTCAAATTTTGACCTAATATATATTGTTACAACTAGTATTTAAATAAAATAAAATACTCCTTGTTTATAGCTTTCAACTTTCATTTTGTCATTATAATAGGAAAAAAAAAAGATAAAGTCGTTTTCACTGGAAATTTGTGTAATGAGCAAAAAAAATTAATATGCAACTATTACTAAGCCAACCTAACACTTACCCAAAAAGAACTTGCAGAATGGGTAAAAAATGAATTTAAACTATTAAAAACTTCAGGTCAAAGCACAATTTTGGATATTTTAAAAAGAAAGGATGAGTTTAAAGAAATGTCTTCAAGTGACCTTAGTGCTAAAAAACGTTGTGTTGTTATGTTTTTTGAGCTAGATACTGCTTTAGCGAATTGGGTTTTATAATATGAACATTGAGCAGTACGTTTAAATAGAGATATAATTAAAGCTAAAGCCAAATGATTAGCAGAATTAATGAATATTTCTGAAAGTAACTAATCTGAATTTTCTAATGAATGGTTGCAAGCCTTTCAGAAAAGATACAATTTTTATCATTTTAGATTACATGGTGAGAGTAGTTCTGCAGATATTGCTGCAATTGAGTTAAACCTTCCCAATATTATTCATACTACTGATCAATACTCCTTGCATGATATTTATAATATGGATGAGACAGGTTTATTTTATGCTATAGCTCCTGATTATACAATTGCATCTCATGAGATTGAAGGGTTAAAAAAAGCCTATACCAGAATTACTATCGCATTTACGGCCAATACTGATAGTACCCACAAGCTTCAGCCCTTCTTTATTAGGCATGCAAAAAAACTTAGATGCTTCAAAAAAAAAATTGGAGGAGAACTTGGGTTTTATTATCAAAATAATAAAAAGGCCTGGATAACTGCTATGTTTTTTCAGGAATGAATAGAAAAATTAGATAAAGAAATGAGAGAATCAAATCGTTATGTATTACTAATCCTTAACAATGCCTCCTCACATATTACTGAAACACTTACTCTGACTAATGTAAAGGTATTGTCATAAATCAAAATCAATTAGTTGGTAACTAATCGATTAGCTACAACTAATCGATTAATTGATTAGTTGTAGCTAATCAATTAGTTACTAACTAATCGTTAACAAAAAAAAAAATAATAATAAATTGACTAATCAATTAAAAAAATTGAATACTATATAAAGGTGCTCATGCTGCCTCCTCATGTTACATCAAAAATACAGCCTATGGATGCTGGTATTATTGCATCATTTAAACTTCATTATCGGTGTATATAACTTAAACATGCAATAGATTGTGATGAATCTAATGAGTATGATATATACAAAGTAGATCAGTTACAAGCTATGAAATGAGTAAAAGTTGCCTAAAGTGAAGTTTCTGCTAAGACAATCAAAAATTGTTGGCTCCATACAAAAATTATATCTCTTCGCGATAATGATAGAACACCTATTATTCCTATTTCTTCTACTTTTGTTGATAACAATGAAGCTGTAAATGAATATTTATCTGTAGATCCAAATGATGCCAATGACCTTCAGCAAGTGATTGATACATTGTGCATTCGCCATCCAATGTCTCTAGAAGATTTGTTAAGAGCTGAAGAACATGAAGTATTACACCAGCAGTTTAATGAGAAAGACTTTGTCCAGGCTGCTACAGAAATAGAACAAGTAGAAGATAAAGTTGTAACACCTTCTCTAACTGGAAAGGAGCAGTTGAATATTTTACGTAGTGCTTTAAAGATTGTTGATAAAAGAATTGATAATGGTAGAGTAACAATGAAGTTCTTATGCAAACTACAATCCTGCATTTGTGAAGAGATTCGAAAAGAGGAGGCTGAAATACAGATTTAAACTACAATAGAAAGATTCTTTTTCAAACCTTAATGATTTTACTTTGAAAGCCTTATTATTATAAAAACAAGTATAATTTTTTTTTTCTTTTATTTATTTCTTTATATCAATTACTATATATGAAAGTGTTTTACAGATTTCGCATTTGAACATTATACAAACGATATTTTTACTAAGCTATGGGACTATTTTTTTAAAGAATTTTTTTATATAATAATTAGTATTAAAAAAGGTTCATTATCAAGTTTAAATAATATAAAGAATACTTACTGCTAGCTAAAAGTGCTATAACAGTTTTCTTAACAGTAATTATGTCTAATCTTCATTCAGCTGGTAGAATATATTAAGTGATCTATTATATACTGTAGTAAACCAACTATTATTCCATTCACTTATCATTATACTTCTATTTTTTTTTTTTTTTCCTTTGACAGTCGCGCTTTATATATTTATTAGATAAAGAATTACAGATGGCTAATCTGCCTAAGAATTAACTTAATACAAGAACTTATAGTTCCTTCCTATACGTCTAATTTCCTAATGGAAAGTACCACTCGACACTCCATTTGCATACGTACCCAAACGTGACCTATCGCACTAAAAACCTCCTTAACATAAAGAAAAAGAGAAGTCTAGACAATTTTGTCTGACTGT